GTTGATTGTATTAGGGAATTAGTGATGTCTTTCTGGACAAAACCCCAGAGATTGACAGAGGGACCCTCACAGAGCCCTAAAACATAATAAAGACAAGTAGCGAAACCACATCTCTCTGTGGGTCTGCTCTTGTTGGGGCCAGCCTTGAAAGAGAAGTTTTTTTGTTGTTGTGGGGAGTTTTTCTCTTTCTCTCTCTCGCTGTGGTTTTATAGCCCAGGGGTCGTTATCTCTCAAACACAGGGAGAAACTAACAGTCGACTTCAAACATTGCGTATACGCATGCACCACCGCACTCACAAAACTTCCAGAAGGACGCAAGGGATTGCTGTGAGGAAGCCCCCCAGGGGTGAAGTGACTTTTGACATGGACAGCAACATATCATACCCCTGAACACACACACACACACACACACACAGATCAAGCGTCACAATCACCCTCCTCACCCACCCCTGGGGGACACAGAAAGAGAGGGAGGCAGGGGAGATAAGCACCCCTGCCTTTACCACCCCTGCCCCCCACCACCACCACCACCACCATCTTTCTCCTCTTCATTCAATTCAACGGGCACCCACCCCTCCACTTCCCCTTGCTCCCTGTACGCCTGCCCTGTGTACAGCGCCTCTGCCAAGTAGTGTGTGTGCTATCTGATCAATCTGTGGCATTGACACACACACACACACACATACACACACGAGAGGTAAAAGCCATTTTGGCCCCTAATAGCCACTCCATCCAGGGACAACAGACCCCCCTTGGAGAGGCCGCGGCTAAAGTTTACAACAATAGGGTTAGAGTAATTAGAAAGGCACTTCCCTTCTGGAAGAAATAGGGAGGGGGGGGCATAGAGTACAAGACAGAGAGAGGGGGGAGATAGATGTAGTGACAAAGAGAGTAGCAGCAGAGTTGAGCTGCAGATAGACATAAAGAAAGAATCTGAAGCAGAGAAAGAGAAAGAAACTGAGAGAGAAGAGGCCCCCAGAGTACAGCTATAACCCTATCTATTCACCGCAGAGCTTGTAAAGATGGAGGAACAATCAAGGTGGAAAGACAATGAAAAGATGGCTAGAGGGCAGGGAGAGATCACTCCACGGTCATGACATGTGAGAGGAAAGGTTTACTGCTACAGAGGCATTCGAATATTAGATCTGAACAATGGGCCCCATCCATCAATATTCCCTGACAAGGGAAACCTTAAAAGATGCTAAATATATATATAATTTGACAGTGTCTTCGGATTTCACTTAAAACTGCACATGCTAAATTGAAAATGTGTTTGTGGGGACGCACTGGCTTTTACCCAAAAGTGATTCTTTGACTAAAATGTGTTTGAAATCCACCTCCAGGCCCAATTTGTTTCATCTCAATGTGACCAGTAGCCCAAGATCAGATCTAATTACAGAAGTCAATCTCAGTGCTATCAGCAGGATGAGGCTCAGATTAGGACCGGACCATATGGCTTGTTGGGGCAACTGCGGTTTATACATAGCACTGAGGGGTGAAGTTAAACACACACACAAACACACACACACACACACACACACACACTTACTTACAGGAACTTTGACTTACTCATACCACATGAGGAGAACTGAGTCAACCCATGCCGTCAGTCCAATATGTCCATGCGATGATGCCATCAGGAGGCATTTTAAATTTAAGAGTTTATGTCCATATAAAGAGGGCAAAGATGAGTTATTTTAAGGGGTTAAATATAAATAATCCCAAAACATCTACTTCCATCAGGTACAATAAAGTCATTTTCAGATATATAAATGGATATATAAATGTGAGGGAAATTTAACATGTTGACCCATGTTTGAATAAGAGCCACTTCTATGTAAAAGTCACTGCAACTGCAATCTTACTAAATGGAGCCTTTAACATTTCCAACATGGCAAAAGCCTGAATGCTGTCAGATTAAAGACTGCAGCAGCACAAGGTTAAATACAAAGAGAATAAATGTTCACCTTATTAAAGCCGCTACAAGCAATATTTCTATATTAACAATGGATCAAATGACTGTGTGTAATATGAAAGGGTTCACTTGTAGTGTTGAACCCACAGAGAATTATCAAATTATTATTATTTATTATTATTGAGAATTATTATATTACAAAAGCGCCACTTCAGCGTCTTTTAAGTCATTGTTTAGCTTTAATGTTTTGGTTCATTCTCATGTTACCCACTGTACACAGCTTGCACAGCACCAAACAGCAGACAGACAGAGTTAGCAACCAGCATTTAGCAAAGAGCCAGATATTTCTCTTAGGAGTTGGCAGAGAAGTAAAACAAAGCTTAAAAGGACGGCAAAAGTATGCTCATGTTTCTCTGTGTCTGCTCGACATGTAACTGAGCTGCTAGCACATTTCTTGCATTTCTTTCCACATAAAACAAAAATGAAATCCTGCATTGTTTACATCTATGTTTGTCTTCTTCACTTCCTTTGTTTCCTTTGTTAGCTAGGCTTCTTTGAGTGTTACCACCACCAACTGTGGCAATCGTGTCAAAAATATGTGTACGCGCATTACAATCAAAATCCCATTAGTAAAAAACTTTGCGCTATAGCACTACTGGTGGTTAAAAAATACCCAAAAATCTACGGTCAATGGTGCATTGTGTCTCTTTCCATAGATCACCTGTTATGACTGAATAAAGCTTTAACAAACGTTTTGACTGTAATGGACACCTCTGCTGCCATTGTAACAGACAGATGAAGCCTACAAAGTTAGGTATCCCATGTGTGAAAAGACAGAATATGAGCACTCCGTCAGCATCTACCTCTGTGTGCGGAAACTTGACAATCAACTACTATATCAGGATTTATGTCTTGAAGTTGCTGGGGCCTTTATGTAAGTCCAGACAGCCTTGTAAAGTGTCTTGGTGGATATTTTTCTCCCGGCAGGTTCCAGTTGTTGTTGAATGTGTTTATACCTACGCTAGTAAAGAACAAGAGTTTACTCATTTGAAACCACCGTCCAAGCAGATAAATCATCTCCTTTGGCAAAAAGATATGACAAGGTAGATAAATTGTTTTGCAGGAAAAGTTAGTGGCATAAATAATGAGTAAACTCTGGTTATGCCTGTTTGGCCCTGCAGTTGCAACAAGGCTAATTAGTCCTTAAGGGAGAAAATTATATTTTGTAAAAGAAAATGAATGATCCTGCACTAATACAATGCAGTGATAACAGAAGGGAAACAGAGTGAAATGATCAAAACAACAAAAGACTGACGCAAGAGTAGCTAATGCTCTTCAGAAAGAGAAAAAAAAAAAAGACTCCAGTTATTTACAGTAAATGGCAAAGTCCTCTTCATTTGCTGGATGTGTGTTATTGACGGGCAGTGTTTACATCAAAGAGGAAACAGATGGAAAGAGAAGCAGATGCAGGGAGACAAGATAGGGAAACCAGATCAATAATGGGAGAGGGGTCACTGACTCCAACACACACAGAGTCCCATTAATAATGTCTTTAAGGCCAGGAAGAGAAGTACTAAATCATGCTGTGGACTACTGACAGTAAGACTTGACTCTAACACAAGCAGGCACATCAGTGAAAACTGTTACACAAACAGAGGTATAAATAATGTATCACATTGCTCACGCAAATTATTTCATGGCGGCATCAGTTCAAGTGAACTTGTGATAGTGATAGTTAAGCCGGGCATATACTGTATGATTTTAGAAAATGTGTTGTTTAATTCCAACTCCTGCTGTACAAGTTTGCGATGTAAAGCCAAAGCTCACCATTTATGCGCTCACACTATACTATATGCCTGTCGGCCCCTGAGGACCACTCCCGCTATTTATTATAAAAAAGTTTCATTCGAAAGCTCGGAGGCAGCGTTCAGAGTTTGTTTGCTACCCATTGCTAACAAGGTAAGTGTCATCCTTTCCTCGATTGTCGAAACATCTCAATAAAAAAGCTCTGGCGTATACAGACTTTCCGTTGCATGCTGTTGCCACAGCTCAACCACCACCGTCCACAAGATGACTTTCGGACGCAAACAATGCCCATAAAGCTGAAATTCAGTCTGACTCCAAAATGAGTCGTGCAGCTCAAAAGTTAGGTCAGACACAGGCTCAAATCGTACAGTGCATGCCCAGCGTCAATCAGCACATCTCCATTCAGTTGCACTTCATATTCACAACAGTAAGCGAACACATCACCATTCATACCGCCGTAATGCTAGGCGTTGATTCTGACTGACTTTAGTTCAGCGGTACGCTCAGTGTGCTTCTGGTTCAAGCTACTTTATTAGTGATTTGGGTGAAACTGGATCAAATTTTATAGATACAATATTCTGCTCTGATTGGTTGTTTGCATTCAGGTCTGGTGGATATTTGCAAATGCCATTAGGAGCACTAGGAGGAACCAGAGGAACCAGATTTCTTCACAGATTATCTGTCTCATATACTACTGTCAGGATATAGTGACATATTTATGGTTATTTCCTATTATATTCAATGTATAACAAAAACAGTACTGGTAAACTGTACAATGAATCCAGATAGTGAACACAATAACTGCAGGAAGTTTGTGTAAAACAAGCTATTTAGATTTGTTTTGTGCAGATTATTTCCTCCAGTGAATACTGATCAGAGATGAGTTTTGCTGATATTTTTAGCAACTTTTTATACCATTTTCTTTTTTTGGCCTTTATGCCTTTATTTGACAGAGACAGCTGAAGATAGAGAGGAAAGAGAGGGGATGACCACTGGTAAGGTCGGTTCGAACCCGGGCCCGCTGCAGCACCTCCGTATTGGGTCGCCAGCTCTACCTACTGAGCTAACCAGGCACCCTCTCATTGTTCCTTTAGCTCTTTGGTAGTTTTAACTGAGTACTTATGCAGGATGAGGCTGTTATCAGAGAGCGAAGGCTCCGTGAATATAGATTGTGTTCAGCTCTTTAAAGTCAATCTATGAATATTATTTTTTTTAGTAGTTGGTAGATTAGTGACCTGTCTAAACTTTGACCCCTGTTGTTCTGTTTTTGTGGACCAGTCGTGTCCACATCTCCCAGAGCACCATGGAGTGTCTTCATGGCGAGTTCGATGTGGAGCCAGGGAACGGGGGTGACCGCTGTGACTACCTGAGAGAGAGGGGCATTGAGACCTACCTGGTGGTAGTTCCTAAAGGACCTGTGGGAAAGAATGGGATCAACGGTGTAGTGAGTCAAACCTGCCACACACCCACTCTGCAAATATTTGGATATTGAAATGTTGCTTTCACATTCAGCCAGCTGATGCCCAGGGAAAGGAATAAAATGTTAACATGTTAAGTCATACAGTATTTGAATCCTTCTTGTTACGCAAAACTAGATTTGAATATCATTTCAAAATGTATGTTAGAAACTCATCAGCATACATGGATATGTACAGGAATGTAAAAAGGAAGAAAGATAAGTCTTATCATACTAATAACTCACTGCTTCCTGTTTGCTTGTTTCATATTAGAAGCTGTCTGTAACCTCTTCCAATGGAAACTCCCCGCTGTTGATCAACACCACAGAGTGTAACGGCAGTGTCAATACCGCCTGCACCACACCGGAGGAACCAGAAGAACTGGACACCCGGGTAACCTAGAAGTCATTGCTTAGATTAGAATATAATGTTACAAGAGTCCCACAGCAGGTGTTTTTCGCAACTCACTATTCAGTGCTATACCATCAAAATATATATAAATAAAAATAATTTAGCTAATCTTAGGGTCACAGCTGTATTTATAAGACAGCAATTTCAGCACTTAAAGATTAGGTTTCAAACCTTATCAACATCCACAGCAAATTTCATGGGAATCTGGCAAGTAGGTTTCTTAATAGTGAAGCAGCATGTGGATTAAGTGGTTGTTCAGAGGTTTAATGGTGTTAGACGGACATACCAGCCGACTGTCGTAATTGACCATTTCTAAGTCCCACCCATTTTGCTCTGGGCTCCAATAACAGTTAAGCAAGCCTCCGTATAAAAAAAAACAAAGAAAACCTAGTTTATTATTTTCTTTACTTTCCCAATAAATGGAAGGACAGTAAAATAAAAGATCTGTGGCTTCTGAGGCCATCTGCATAGAGGAAAAAAGGATAAACTGTCCATCTGTGGCAAACACTTCATCACAGATTAGTTAATAATGTTACTAAGTAAATGACATGTGTGCCGATTGTGTCTGTAGATTGAAGTGAATCAAAAATTAGTCTTATTGATGGTGGAAAAAAAGTATTTACTGTGAAAAAATATGGCCCTACAACAAAAACATCCGCTTTAAGAATGGAGTTTTGTTTGGTAGTGGGGAGTAGAGGGTATTTTAACCTTAATAATTCACATAAATTGAGCATAAAGTAACATAGGAAGTGGAGATAAAAACCAACATGTTTTCTACATCTCTCAGTTCGTAGTAAAAGGTCAATTTAACAAACACGAACAGCATTTCAAAAAAATAAAGTGTCTTAACAAAAAACAGTGACAGATGTCAGAAATATGAGATTCACTAAGGTAGTTGTATATGTCATGTTGGTCAACTTTGATGCAGGCAGACTGAAAGATGCCGATCGTTGATTCGCAATGCCTTGCTGGCCATAGGATTTTGGTTCCTAATATCTAAAAAGCAATACGGTATTCTTATTTTATGCTATTAAATTGGTAAAGACCTTGGAATGTGCATTTACTGTCAGTCAAATTGAAGGGGCTGCTTTCAGCCAAAAGGGGGCAGGGACACCCACATATAACCCAGATGGGCTGCTCTTACCTAAGTAAATATTCTTAATTTGTTCTTTGTTGGACTTCAGGTGGTGAATCCGTCTTTCCCTAACCCTCGCAGAAGGCTGCGGCTGCGGGACCTGGCTGAAAGGGTGATTGACGCTCAGGAGAACGAACAGGAGCTCAACAAACTGCTCAATGAGGCTCTGCTGGAGAGAGAGACGGTGCAAGCGTAAGTGAGCAAAAAGCGCTACTTCCTTCTAGATGCAAAACAACTTAATGACATTGCTTTTATCTTTGTTAGCTTTTGTCATGTTAGTGGTCGTCAGAGGACCTGCCATTGACACACATACACTGATTGCACTTTTTTTTACACTCTTTGTAAATACACTTTTTAAATGTGGCTCAACTGAGAACAAATGAGGGAGTGAATCAGAGAAATTAACTTTATTTTCCGTTACATCCTAAAGCACCTCCACACCTCCACACAATCCTGCAGAAGGTACACATTGCCAAATTTTGTGCTGAAGCTGCACTGTCTGCTGTGTGTAGCTTACTCCCACCCCCAGTCAAACACAGAGACCTGCAGCTCTTTATACATTCATATTCGCTGAGAGAGACTATGATCTGCGAATGTTGACACCCAGACATGCCCTATACACATAACAGCTAAATAAGCAAATACGGGCAGTGGGCAGGGTCTCTGCAGATACAAACACGCTTCTAATGGGTCACAAGCAGACCCGGAATTTGCAGATTTTCTTCACAGTTTTCAGTGGTGATCCAGAATGAGAACAGCATAAAATGTAGGACACATGGCAACTATGCAAGGTTTATGGGGAACAGAGAGAGCAAAAATGTATTTGCAAAACCATTAACCATTCCTTTCCCAATAATTACCACTGCAACACAAACAAATAAATAGAAAACTGGTAAGGTGCTTGACCTTAACTTCAAATATTCTGTGAGAAACTTTACAGGCTCAAACATAAAACTTTCTTAGATGCTCTAAATTAATACATCTGCTTACATTTTTTTAATCTTTGGATATTCACAATATCTATATATCCAAGTGTGAATTGTCTTACAATAATTATTACCGGTAAGTCAAAAGTAAGTAATCTGTGTTGACAAACAGCGTCTCTTCACTTTCTCTCCTGTAAATCTAAATTTTCACACCACAAACTTTTATCCTAATGCTTACTGAAAACAACACGTTTGGAGGTGTATACGTTTAAAATCTGCGGTATTCTGCAGAGGTGTTGTCAGAATTCTAGGAGCACAGATTCCGTGTGGGCCTGGTCATAAGTGATGATTGATTGGGATTATGTTTGTATGAGTCTATACATACTATTTTTGGGAAAATCCTACCTAATATACCTTTTAAGAGTTACAAATTTTGGATCAGATGTCCCTTATATGTATTATTTTCTACTGCTGTAAATTCTGCAAGCTTTACTTTTGTTTGTGCTGGAGGAGCAGCACCTTCCTCTAACACAAACAAACAGATACGGTACCAAATCAAAATAATACTTTTATTCTGTAAATGACTTTGTGAAAGATACAAGTGTTTTTTCCAAACTGCGACAGTATGTGTCATGTTGCTGACAAATGTTATTTGATGTAATTGCTGAGTGTCTCTTGTCTCATTAGTCTGAAGGGGAAACACACCAACAAGCTCTCTCTGAGATTTGTGGATCCAGACCTGGAGACCCGTTACTCAGTGGAGAAGGAGAAACAGAGTGGAGCTGCCTTCTGTTGTTCCTGTGTGGTCCTGCTCTTCACTGCAGTTATGGAGGCTCTCATAGACCCCTGGTCAGTTCACAACGCTTTTTTATTCACCATATTTGGCATAGACACCTATTCAAAAATCATGATCCTATTCACATAATAATTTACTGTACTGTAAGGATCCTCTACTCTTTTTATCTCAAAACACAAGTCCCTTCCCTTTTGGAACTTCAATCAACTTTCTCCTTTCCTGTAGTTATCAAGCCCTCAGGAACTTTGAAGCCAATTTGACATAGTGGCCATCAGTTTAATTACAGCAATGACATCCATCACAAGATTCACCCTGACACAAAAAGACTGTTTCCCATGAGGTTACATTGTGAAAGACGTGGCTGTAAAACGGTAGATGCATTTTTTTTGAGCGTCAACTCCCCCGTGTAATATGTGTATTTGATCCATTCAGTCCAATAACATTTGTAAAGTTTAGAAGAGCCACAACATTAAATAATTTTATCTCCATTCAAGTTAGCAGAAGGCTAAACCGGAAGTTAGTGGCTCAGCCAGTGGACTAGCGCGCTTGCTATATGAGCCACATTATGCGGAAGGATATGCAAGAGATCTGGCTAATTTGTAAGTTCTTGGATTCCTGCACCACTGAACAGCTTCCATAATGAACAGAGCCTGCTTCCAACTCCTCTGAGTTTGTCTATATTGAAAAGACAATGTCTCTTTTATCTTTAAAACATCCTAAAATGTGGTATTCTTTCCAACATAGATTAGCTTAGCAAAAAGCATATCTAAGTACAGGAAAGGAGAAAGTTGACAGAGGTTCTGACTGAGGCTTGCTCAACTGTTATTGGAGCAATAAGCGAAAAGATGTTGGAGAATCTGGACTTGTTAACAGCTACCAGTGCTGTGTATTTCTCTCAAGGTTGTTCTGTGTGTTCATGTTTTGTGGGACAGGTTGATTGCAAACTACATCACCTTTGCAGTGGGAGAAGTCCTGCTGCTCATCCTGACAATCTGTTCTCTGGCTGCCATCTTCCCTAGAGTGAGTTACAACACATGGAACACACACTCAAATGTGTCATGTTTTCACTACCTGGTAGGCCCTGGTACCACCTAATCACCTAATCTAGATACAACAACAATCAATCTGACCAAACCCCAAAATCTGTGTATGCATTCTTCTGCGGTTCCTACCAAGGGCCAGGAAACATGTCCTTTGTTAACAGAGAAACTGCGTTCTCTTACGCACAAACTGAGAAACTCTAGCTCGCTTACTGACAGTTACACCTAGAGCCGAGGGGTCTGTCCGAGGTTTCTGCCTCTTAAAAGGAAGTTTTTCCTTGCCGCCGTCGCCAAGTGCTGGCTCATGGTGGGAACTGTTGGGAACTGGAGCCACATGATGTCAGTCACCTCATCTCATTTATGTGCTCATATTATAGTTAAATAGCTTGGGTTTTTTGAAGTGGGGTTGTTTGAGGTAGTTATTCAGTGTATTACCTACAGCAGACAGAGGTCACCATGTCCCCAGTTTGGAGAATGTACTGCTGTGGTGTATGTTATATTTACAGTATTTTTACAACTTTTACTTGCCTTTTCCAACAGGAGCTGTAGCCTTATATTCTCCAAAGCCACCAGACTCCTTTGACAAAAAGTAATTTTACCTTGTAGAACATGGTACTCCCTGGTCTACCGCTGTCTCAATCCGCAGCAGCTAACATTAGTTAATATTTTTGATGCAAACTAATGTGTTAAAACACAAAAGTCACACAATAACACAAATAAGACAAATTATTTGAGTTTCACATCACTAACCCTTTAAACATGTGCATCTCAAATGAGTCTATTGTGAACATTTACTGATGGTGCAGTTTTATTGTGATAGAGGATAGCATAATGGTGTACAGCAAGTGTGTGTGTGTTTGTTTGGCATGGAGCAGTACTTTTGATTCCACCTCGTCATGGAAAGTCAGATGTATTGATAACCAGCAGAGAGGCCAGTATTGACTGCTGTCACAGGCTGCATTTGGGTCAGTCAGCAGCACACACACACAGTCATCCGAGTTGTCGAATGCAGAGTTGCTGTAAATAATGCTCGGGGCTCTTCAGCACTTATCAATATCACAGTGCAATAATAAGCCTACAGTACTGTTTCCATGAACACAGCACAGTCCATTAACAGAGGCACATGTGTGTGAATGTGATCCCTCTGACTGCACACTGTTAGCAGCCACAGAACTGTTTCAGTAACATATTCACACGTCATAACAGGAAAAGGAAATGGGTATCTAATAACATTAATAACGGCTGCATTCCATTTATGAGTTGCAGGCCTACTTCTCTGATATGGTGTAAGACTACTGAGACACTCAAAGGGAATGGAGTTATCATTCATGTTATTAGTTCCACTTGTGTTTTTCCTGCCAAGTCAAAATGTATGCTGCAAAGAAGGCCTGTAGGTTTAACATATCCACCAGCACCTGACTCTTGTTTTTCCCATTACCCCACTAATGAGCACAGTGTCAGATGATGCAGTCACAAATGTGTGGGCATTAATGATGCTGTTTCCAAAAACATCTCTGACTTAGATTGAAATAAAGTGTAACATATTTCGGGGCGATTGTGGCTCAGAGGTACAGCAGGTCGTCCACTAATCGGAAGGTTGTTGGTTTGATCGCTGGCTCCTCCTGCATGTCGAAGTATCCTTGAGCAAGATACTGAACCCAACAAACTGCTCCCGATGCTGTGTCATCAGTGTGTGAATGAATAAGTTAGTTTCTGTTCATCTATCATCTATCATGATGATAGTTGTAGTGTAAAAGCACAGAAGACTAGAAAGGCGCCATACAAGTACAGGTCCAGGTCCATTTACCATTTAAAAAACAGCTTTTTCTGTCATGATAAGGAAAAAATTATAACTATAACTTACTTTTGGAAACTGATCGATGGAAAACTAAAAGGTAAGTGAGATTTTAAGATAATTGCTGTTGAGTTTTAGTTTATTTTTCAGTGTACTTTTTCAGTGTGAGCCACTGGCACCGGCCAACCCCCACACTTTCAGGTGTTATGCTAACCTCTTCAACCCTGCGATGACCAATAGTATATATATATATATAT